CCCCAAAACCCCAAAACCCCAAAACCCCAAAACCCCAAAACCCCGAATGATGATTATCATCTTTTAATTGATAGATTTTGTTATTTTAATTGATATATTATTTGAAATCTGGGAATTCTATAATGAATGACAATAATAGCTCAATGGATCGAGATGAAGAGACTTATAGAAATATTAATAACATTTGAAGACCACCTTTAAAGAGAAAAAGTGCCTTGTAAGAAGTTTTAAATGTGGACTATAACTATATGTTTGACTTAAACCAAGGAGAAGAGCCATCATTTTAATCACTAAACAATCAATCAAGAGATAATTCTTTTGATATTCTTAATTGAAGCCCTCAAAAAAGATCGTCCAAGCCAAATAAGGTAGTACCTCATGTGTCATAGAATAGAAAAATACTCGCCACCTCAGATTTAAATTATTTAGCTATACATGAGCATAGTTCGGATTCAGGAGGCAGATTAATGCAAACTATAGGATAAACTACTATGAGTAACAATGTCGCAACTGGCGATATAACATAAAATACAGAGAGTGAACCACTTAGAATTGGAATTTAAAGCAATATAAAAGTACACTAAAATCATTTAGATCCACGAAGTCAGAAGCATGTTCGCGGGGGGAGCATTGATAGTATAAGAAGGAGGACAGGAATACTGTTCGATTAAGACTAAATTTAATAGTAAGTTACTGAAGAAAAAGAAGCTTAGATTACCAAAATGGCCAAAAAGAAGTCATGTTGCTTGATAAAACATATCAGAAGATATATGAGATAATAGAAAAAGCTTAAAAAGGCGGCTAGTTGATAGAATTAAGATGATCTATTAAAAGCTCTAGCAAATATGAATATTGAAAGTTAATTGAAACAAGAAAGAATGAATTACCTTTGGGGTAAGGTAAGAACTGCTATCTTGTCGAATCATTTTATTAGAAGATTACGATCCTTTTCTGAAATTAGATCAATGAAGTCTATTAAAGGTATCTCTGAAAGGAAGAAATAACTAATTGATGGACTTGATGATGATGGAAGCAGTAGTAAAAGGTATAAATGTCTTATCGATTATAACTCTAAATTAAAACTATTTTGGGAGTTTCACATTGCTTGTGTCTTTTTAATTTCCTTTTGGCTTATACCTATTAATTTTGCAACATCAATGTCTTTCTAGTAAAATTACATGAGCGCTGATTTTTATATAGACTTTGTCATATTGATTGATATCTTAATTAATTTTGTCTCTTAGACTATGATAGATGTAGAATTGGTAGTGTTTTTGAAAGATGCTGCTTTAATCTACTTAAAGTCATATTTTCTAATTGACGCATTAAGTATTTTACCAGGGATAATTACTGTTGAAAGTGATACTACACTATATTCGTTTAAATTACTTAGATATTGTAGACTTAAAAGATTCCTAAATTTTTTCAAATTTCTTAATAAACTTGCTGCTAATATATTTACCTACAATAATCACCATAAGATAGCAGTATAAAAAGCAATAAGTGTTATCAAATTATGCTCTATATATTATTTTGTATTTCATGTACTCTCTTGTATCTGGCTTTTCATAGGAGAAAACTAGTATGAAAACTCTAAATCTGGTTGGCTTTATGAGCATAATGAATATAATGTTAGTTTCTAAAGTATATACATAAAATCCTTGTATTTTATATTGACTTCATTTGCTACTATTGGGTATGGTGATTACTCAGCAGGTTTAAACTCAAGATAAGCACTATTTGTAATTTGCTATATGATGTTTTTGCAGCAAATGTTCTCTTTTTTCCAGATGCAATTTAGAGCACAATTTACAAATGTGGATATTATAAGTTCTCCGATGTAATTACTAGATGACAAAAAGGGTGAACTTGAGCTTTTATTCATGAAAATTTCAAAAATTGAAAGTGTTGGAAAATTCTAGCGAAACATTGTAAAACAAGCAGTTTTAGACATTGAACTTTCCTTTAAGTATTTCTTCAAGTCAGTTAAATCAGAGGCATTTTATATTTTACTTCCTCCTAGGTTGAAGAGAAAACTAATTTTAGAGATTGGCAAACCTTACATTTATAGGTTTATTCATTTCTTTGAAGATGAAGATAAGGGATATTATGCTGATGATCAGTACATAAGTAAGATAATCAGAAACTTAAGATGCTAAATTCATAGTCCTGGATAAAAGGTAATTGGGCTAAAATAGCATTATGCTCATTTTTTCTTTCTATAATCTGGAAAAATAGAAATATTTAACAAATACCTTCAACTCTTGGTTCAGTATGTATCTGGAGGGTTCTTTGGAGAATGTGAAATAATATTCAAGATCAGATCAAACTACATTCTGAGAGTATCTGAAAATTAACCAGCCATTTTGCTATGTCTTAAATCTACAAAGTTAATGCAATTAATAAAGAGTGAAAAGCCATCTTTACTCTATTTAGCTCAAGTAGGATATGAAAGAAGATGCTACCTTAGAGATTTGTCTCAAAAGGTGGATGGAATTGAAGAAAGCTCGAGAAAAACTTAAAGATCTAATTTACTTTTCAGTGAAATAGTTGCAGTTGCTGCTGATTAACTAAGGGCAGGAGAAATTATAAAGCTCTATGCAAATTTTCTTCAAATGTTGTAGTCTTAAAAAGTTCAGAAGGAAAAACAATACAGATTCGATAGCATATAAATGATCAATGATTAGATTATTGAGGAATCAGTTGAAGAATCAAAGGAATCAAGCAGTAGTAATTCTGAACTAAGTGTCTAAGACTCTTCTGATGAAGTAAATAAGATCAATTCTGAAAGTAACTACTAAGAATATAACACTGAAGAAATTGAAGATGATATTCATGATTTGGACTATATGTCTGTGGAGGAGGTTGATCATCAATGTATAGACATTCAGAGAGTATAGTTTAACAAGTATGTTCAGCTTGCTCAAAATACTCTTCACAACTTAAACGAATTAGTAGATGTAGCAAAATAAAAGTTCATTCATTGCAACTAGAATTTCAAGTCATTAGATGAATTGTCCTTGAAGTTTGCTAGATTCAATCATATAGTTGAAGCAAAACCAGTAATGAGCGATAATATGTCGAATTCTTAAGTTTCTATGTTCAATAAGCTAAGAATAGGCACGATGAGCTAATTTTCATCCTAAGTATATTAGTCTAGTAGACAAAAAACAAAGCTAATCAAACTCTAAGATGCCAAACAGAAGCGTGGTAAATATAAGAAAACTAATTTTAAAACCCAAGATGTTTGTTTAAGTAAAGATTCAGATATTACATTGGTTGACAAAGTTGAATTTAATTCTCCAGGCTAGATGAAATCTTATAGGCCAACTCAGGAGGATGAACAAAAACTAGAAATAGAAGATTTAATTTATGAAAATGAGCAAAAAACCAATAGTAACAATCAACTGATTATAGATGGTTTTGAACTTGAGGAAGAAAGTTCTAAGCAAAGCTATGGCTCTCTTATGCTTAGTTCGCAAGCTAATAGTAAAGAATGATATAATAAATATTTAAATATCAATTTTAATTTTTCACAGATTGTTAAAAAATATTTTTAAATGAAATTCTCCAATTAATCCTAACTTAAGGGGTTTTGGGGTTTTGGGG